ATTTTCAGAAACTGAAATGTTTTTATGTTCAGAATGATAAACTGAAATGTTCTAAGTCGACCATGTTTTTATGTTTTTTTCAGAAACAGAATGATAATGTTTATGTTGCAAATGGAATTTTTCTGCTATTTCTTGTACAGTGATTATGCTATTTCTTGGAAAAATCCATTCACTGAATCAAAGAGAGTTCTATTGGGAACAAAACAAGGAAAAGCTTTGCACACACCCACTCACGGATTTGCACATACCACACTCACATTTACACACACAAATTGCACGCACACACTGTTTTAATTTTGATTTGATTTTGGTTTTTGGGTGGTGTCGGTGGTGTTTGGGTTCAATCAATGGCGTATAGGATGACATAGGGAAGGCCGAGTGCTTCTTCATTTAAGACAGAAATTGAGAGTCTTTACAATCCTCACCGAATAAAGCTCATACATTGAATCAAAGCTCATGCACCGATTCACCGAATAAAGCTCAGAATGAGTACTCACCGAAAAAAGCTCAGAAGCGGTCGGCTGTGAGGAGCGGGACACAGAGAGAGATGGATGGAGGCGGTTGGTTGTGACTGTGAGGAGCTGCTGCTGAGTGCAGCGATCAGGCTGATCAGCGATGGGTGTGGCCTTGTGGGTGTCTGTTTCACTGTGTGTGTGTGAGAGAAAGAGAGAGAGATGGAGAGATGGAGGCGGCGGCCGAAGGCTGATCGACGAAAAGACGAGTAACTTAGGGCTTTAAGCCTTTAAACTTTAACTGGACTGAGAGTATTTATCTACATATATATTTTTTAACAGGTAAAATGGAGACGGGGCGGGGCGGGGTAAACGTAAGTTCATCCCCGTCTTTATTTTCGCACGAATTTATATGGGTATTTTTATATACGTCTATCATCTAATACGTATAGTTCATCACAGACCAAACGAGACGGATTTAGACGAATACCCGTTTTTCTCCGGTCTACTGTCATCCCTTCCCTACCCCTCCGGTGAAATCGAAACCCACCCCCACCCAAACAATCCACCTCCCTCCGGTGAGCCAACCTCCCTACCCCTCCGATGAACCCAACTCTTTCCCCCTCCAATGAAACTAAAACCCACCACCACCCAACACAGTCCACCTCCCCAGTGAAAGCTGAAACCAACTTCCCTCCCCTCCAGTGAAACCGAAACACCAATACACCGGTAAAACTAAAACATCCATACACACCACCCTCAAAAAACTACCCCTCCTTCCCTCCTCCGATGAAACCGAAATCCACCCCTAGTAATAGGCCCCAAACAGTCTCAACCCTATAAGAAATCTACTCTCTATTGGGCAACACCCATTTGGAGAAACAAAACAAAAAGGTGAAATTCATTTGAATAGAATTTAAAAAACAGAGGTTTATCTCATGCAAATACTTTCCATAATTTCTAAGCAGCAGATAATTTGTGAGATTTACCTTTAAAATCTCCGAAACAAATCATGATCCATTCGATGTTATCCACCTCCAGTTTTATGTTCATCGCAAAAAAATGCAAAACCACAAAGAAATTGCGTATAGAACAATATGTTGTTCAACAAGTGAGAGAGTGATTACTTGTTGAGGCTTTTGCAATGCAAACAAAGCGAGGGAGAGATAGACGCTCATACAGTAGAGCAGTATATGTAACAAGTGGAAAAGGAGAAGCCATGGAATCGTTCAACTTCTAATGGTAATTAATGTAGAACTGCTATATGAAGAGAATAACAAAAGTCACGTAAAAGAGCAATATCATCTTTTTGTATTATGTGAGGGGCATTATAGAAATTCAAAAATGATTGAAACCAAGTGGGTGGGGATAACTGAAAAATTAAAAAAAATAAAATAAAAATTTTGAAGAATAACTAACATTTTATAGTAGTCATAAATAAATTATGTGCGTTACACATGAATAGTTTTGTACACAAAAAAATTAATAAAAAATATTAGGTATACATATGCCTAAATTAAATATTATCTTAAATATACCAAATTTATTTTTTTATCGCTCAAATTGTATTATAGAATTATGAAGACTTTGTCTGTCCCAACGATTCATTGGTCCCTATATGAAAATTGATTAAAAAAATAATTAAAATTCTATTTTTTAAAATTTTGGGATTGAGTTTGATTTTTTAGTGATGTTTGAAAAATTAAATTTTTTGAAATTCATTTGATTAGGATTGTACTTATAATTCATTGATTAAAATAAAAAAAATTATCACTAATAATATTAAAATATTACTATATTTAAGAATTAGTTATGTTAATTAGGATAAAATATACTACTAACTATAATGATGCATATATTTTTTAAGGCTAATATAGTCAATTTAAAATTTTTTATAGATATTAATATTTACACATAGAAAATAAATTATTAGAATAGATGCTAGAGGAAAATTTGGAGATTTAAACAAACAAGGATATGATTATAATTTTTTAATGTTTAGACACTTTTATTACTAGTTTACAAATAAATACATATATGTATTTGTGTATGAGATTAATTGTTGGCATTCTTCGGTTCGAATGCTCTATTTATATCTGTGTGTACTAGATTTGGAGTGAATGTCTTTCATAAAAAAAAAAATCAAAAAAAAAAAAAAAATAGTCTCGTACTCTCGTTTATTATATTTGTGTCTATTTTTATTATTGTTGTAAAGCATTTTAATCAAAAATTAATAAAAATAGTCACAAAAATAATATATTTTTTTAGTTGTAAAGTGACTCACAAAAATTATAAAAATATTCATTAAAATAATAAATTTTACAGATATAGAACCAAATTTTTTTTATCGGTTCCTTAGTCAATTCCAAAAAAGTAAAAACCTTGGTAATCATGCTCTTTGACGCAAATTAAATACTAGTATAATGAGTAATTTCCTTATACTGTACTTGCACCACCAATTAGGTACAAATCACACTTCTTCTACTAGTCATTTATTTTGAGAGGGAAATTACAAAACAAAAACACATACGAAAAGAAAGAATTAAAAAAAAATTAATTCAAGAATAAATTTCACTGGCATTCTCTGGATATAAATTATATTTTAGACACCCCATCTAATTTTTAAAATATTAATAAATACTCCCGTACTTTATAAACATATTTCACAAATTATTCCTACCATCTAATGCCATTACTCATAAGCAAAAAATGTGTGATGTAATGGCTTATTCTTTTATGAGTTACCAAATTTACCATTGGCCATATAAAACAAGTTTAAAATTGTATGACACATCCTTTCAGTATTAATGCTAATTAAATTAAACAGAATATTTCCTATTAAAAAAATTGGATTAAACAAAAATTTAATTAGGTGATAATTTTTAAAATAATATTAATTTGATAAAACTAAATATTAATTAAAAAATTGAATGTCAATTTTATAAAAATTGAATGACCATTTGATATTAATTTGATAAAATTGTATGTTAATTTAATAAATTGGATGTTAAATTGATAAAATTAAATATTAATTTGAGGTTAATTTAATTTTAATTTTATAAAATTGAATATAAATTTGATGAGATTGAATATTAGTTTACTGAAATAAAATGATAATTATATAAAATTTAACATCAATTTCTCATTAATTTTGATAAAATCTTGTATTAATTTAATAAAATTGATAGTTAATTTAGTGTCAAGTGGATCAAATATATTAATTTGGTAGTTAATTTATGAAGTTTAATGTGATTGGTATAAAATTGAATGTTAATTTTATGAAATCAAATATTAATTTGATATTAATTTAATAAAATTGAATTTTAATCAAATAAAAATTGCTAATTTGATGAATGTAAATGTTAATTTAGCAAAATCTAATGTTAATTTTGCAAAATTTAATGAAATTAAATATTAATTTAATAAAATTATAAATTAATTTCATGTTAATTTGATGCAATTATTTTAATAATGATAATATATGAAATAAACATTTAAACTTATCCAATAAAAAAAATGTTTGTGATCTGTTTTAGATTAGGTGATAACATGGGATAAAACATAAAATCAAATCAAATAACACTCCTATAAAATAAGAGTTCTAATAAAGGTAATTAAGTAAAATCACATTCTCAGTTAGGTCAAAAACTAACAACGATATGTAATGATATTTCAGAAAACCAACAAAAACTAACAAAAATATATAATATTTCAGAAACCGGAGGAGTGTTTGTGAAATATGACTTAACCAACATCCAAACCCAACCAACACAGCTAGCCTTTACCGTTCACAAGAATAAGAAGCATAAGTAGTGCATAACTCTCTCGTAGCCTTGGAACCATGTTTACTACTAAAATTAACAACAGGCTTCCATGAAATAGGGAAAGACAAATTAGTGAACGAGAAACTAATAATGATACGGATACAAATCTACCAACACTTTTTTTTTTCGGGGTGAGGGAGAAGAGACTTGAACCCTTGACTTCAAGAAGACAAAACCTTGACAAGATAAAGAGTTTTTCCCTACAATACGAAGATAATTTTCTAAAAAGCTAATAACTAGTTTTTACTTTTCAGTAAAAAAAAAGGAAGTCAATGAAGAACAAATATTTGTTCTGTCATGATTCAACAATTACTTACCCCAACAAATTGAAGTCGTCGTATAACAATGGGTGAGAAATGAAATCCAAAGAAAACTAGCATTGAACCTTCAATGCCATTACGAGCCCCGTCATTGTTAACACCCATCTTTAGCATCTGTGACAGGTAAATTTACTGGAGCTTTCGGCCCAGGAAGAACTTGCACCGAAACAGAGTCCAAGTATTAGCTTCCAAGAGATATATACTGCAACATAGAGTTGGGCAGGGAGTTCCTGCTCTGCAAATTTACTCATGATCCATGTGATCACCAGAAAGGTAGACAGCTTGATTTGGTTTGGAATTATTCTCCTTGCGTAGAATTTGCCTGCCAAACTTCTCTCATATCCTCCAAACAAATTGATGCTGTAAACTACATCAGAAGTCCTTTGCAGCAAAGCTACATGATTTCAGATAGAAACTGGTGCCGGAGTCACTTTGCAAACCTCTGTATTAAAGCCACAATCCATTAGAAACAGTAGCCACGCACGCTGCTGCTCAGAAAGCCGATCCCTGGGGCCTTTAACTTCAACAAGCTTGGCTTCACCTCTATAATCTCCATGGAAGCGCCATAGCAGTAAATCAGGCATCCCACTAGACCAGCTCCGATAATCTTGTGCCAAGTGCCGGCACAATGAGGCCAGACAAGGTCCCCCAATGCATGTAACAGCTGCACGAAGCTCAGACAGGGAATGCTTCTCCCAATTGACTCCCCTACATGCTGTTCCTTCATGTAATCCCCATGAAGTTATGAGGATCTCCTCAGCCATGCCATCATGAATCTTTTGTAGGAGAGGTTCTGTAAGGCTCTTTCTGGCTTCATAAAAGCCGTCGGTCTCCATATCCAAGGGGGCAGTCTGCAAAAGGAAAGTTATGCTCCGGAAAAAGAGGGCAGCAGAGACTTGGGATAGCAAGTAACTGAAATCATAAATCAGACACATATCATATCTTAAATAATAACTTGGAACATTTCCATAACATTTACATCAGAAACTTTCCCTCTTTTTCCCCCATTTTATCTTATCTTCACATTCTCAATGCAACCAAGCACAAAACTGGCATCTTAAACCAATTTTTAAGATAATTTCTTTCTATTTAAAATACCTATGCTAAATACAGAAGTTGGCAATGCAAATCTCAACTCTGCATTGTGCCAGAGCCATGAAGCTGGCAATTGAATGTCTGGCAACAGTGTAAAATAACTACTAAACTGAATTCAATTTACCTAATTTTGGATTGCCATTGTACTCTATTAACTGGCATATTTAATGTTTAATGGCACATTATCTGAATCAAAATTAATTTAAGTGTATCTCTACCTCTCATATTACCATTGACAACTATTACATCTCCCTTTTCCACTGATATATTATTGAGGTCTCGACGTCTCATTTAATTTATCTTATATTGATATTGCTTTTCTAGTTCTTGAGCATGCTACTTCTTAACTGTCCAACATTCTATACTGTAAAAAATTGCTCACCTAAAGATCATCTTGTAGAACTTCCCTTTAAGCTTTCTTAAGTCCTATATGTTGAACACATATACCTGATACATTCTACTTTTCTTAAGAGTGCTTCTTTATATTCTATTTTATATCTAGTCAAATTACATTCTCCCAAATTTAACAATTTCTCTCCAAACTTCTAAATTATTTTCAATTACTAATGTACTTTCTGTTAAGTTAGAGAGTTAACACAACATTAAAAAAAGACGGAGAGTGGTCAAAACTTAACCTACCTCTCACAAACTACTTGTATTTATAGTTGTAACTATACAAAAAACGTGCATACCCTCTAGTGATATACTTATTACAACTAATATTTACATAATACTCTTAACACTCCCCCTCGAGTTAGACTATATATATCATCTAATCCAAATTTAGAATTAATAGTTGTAAGACACGTACAACTTGAAAAACATATCTACAAATTAATCCTCAAATCTCACAAATGGAGTCATAATATCTCCAACTATTATCTTGTCTTGAATAATGTGACAATCAACCTCTATATGTGATTCTCTCGTGAAATACTGAACTGACAGGGATATAAATAGTTGTCTGATTATCATAGAACAACTATAAAGGAGGTTGAACTGGAAAGCCAATTTCCTGGAGAAAGTGTAGTAATCACATCAACTCACTAGTTGTATGTGTTATTGCTCTATATTTAACGTCAGCACTAAATTTTGCTACCACCGTTTGTTTCTTACTCTTCCAAAGACAACGTTATCTCCTAAAAAAGTACAATAACTAGTGGTTGGTCTCCGAACAAAAAGAGAGCCGACCCAATCAACATCTAAAAAACCTTTCACTCTAAGATATCCATTAACTCGATATAACAACCCAAGATCAAAAATACATTTGAAATATCACAAAATATGAGTGATTGCCTCTTATTGTGGTACTCTACGGCATCTTACAAACTGACTTACTACACTAACTACATGAGAAATATCCGATCGGATAAGAGTGAGATAATTGAGCTTCCCAACCATCCTGCGATACTGAACCGAATTCTCAAACAATGCACCATTATCCATCAACAATTTTTAATTCAGATCCATAAAAGCATCAATTAGTCTGTCACCCAACAAACTTACTTCTTTTACAATGTCAAAAGAGATTTTGCTAACAGAAGAAAAAGTCTCCTCATAATCAACACCATAGATTTAAGTAAAACACTTAACAAGTTAAGCTTTGAGACATTTCACAGAACCATCCGGATTAAATTTAACAATATACACCCAACGACAACCAACAATCTGTTTGCCAGGAGATTAAAGAACATGATCTCAAGTCTCATTATAATGTAAGACATCCATCTCCACTTTCACAACTTTCTTCTAACCCGGATCAAACAACACCCCTTGTAACTAAGTACTTAGAAACAGAGATAATAGATAATTGAGGAGTAAAACAAGAGAAAGTAGGGGACAACGCATCATATGAAATAAAATAAGCAACAGAATGGTTAGAAACACACGATCGAGTACATTTTTGAAGAACAATAAGTAAAGAGTCAAAATTACCTTAGTGACCAAGATCAAGGGACGGTACAAGCACCTCGATAATTGAGGACGAGGAGAGTATATATAAAATGAAAAAATAGATAGTAGCATAGTAAGCAGCGTAATATAATATTCGATAATAAGGAAAAAGGTGTTGTTATAAGGGAATACTCAATCCAGATCCTGAAGCTGAGTAGGTGCTGAAAAATATAGAAGAAATTCATCAAAAGTAATACCAGCACTAATGAAGTACCAACGAAAGAAAGGACTATAACAACGATACCATTCGATGTACGAGGATCCAAAAAAGACACATTTAGTAACACGAGGATCAAGTTTATCAAACTCAAAGCCTAAGTTGTGAACATTAACAACACACACAAAAACCTTAAGGGTTTACTAGGAAAAATGACAGAATATATACTTTATCCATTTAACACAGAAGATAGCATACGATTTATGAGATGACAAGCAATGGGAACATCATCACTCCAAAAACAGCCATAATAAAAATACATATGCACAATGAAAATGATTCCTTCTTTAGTGAGAAACTATGAACTACTACCAAGATGTCTACGAAAACCAAAACGCAAGAGCACAAGAGGCACAATATGGACAAGGAAACATTCATGACACAAGACTCTACACAACAAACATCCACCTAAAACCAAAATCTATCTCAATTTCCCAAATCCAATTTTGCATAGCATATGAATCAAGGTAATCCGTGAAAGACGAATTTCCGAGGCATCAAAATCTCCCCTCTTAACCCAATTAACATCATAACCATTGCCTTGCAATCCATAATTTATCTTGATAACCAAAGGTCGAAATGCATTATGTTCCAAGGAAAACTTCCAAACCCTTCCTAATTAAAGCAACATTCCTTGTCATCAAATATCAATCCGAAAGACCACCTCTAGATCTTTCTAGTTTTAGTTACCACCTTCCAAATAATCAAATGATCATTCTTTCCCTCATTACTTTTCAATCCTCACAACCTTCCAAATCAAAAACCATTCCACTCCACCCAAATATATGGTGCGATGCAAACCCATAAAATGGTATGTGTTCTATGGTTAAGAAATCTCATGGAACACACTTAGATTGTACAACTGCATTGTAGCTTGTAATTCAATATCAACTCATCTACCATAAATAGAATGACAAAAAGCAAGCACAACAGTCGATCAACTCTTCGTTCAACTAACAATCAATACTTTCAATCCCTTAGCCCAATTCAATTGACATAACAACACTGTTTAACAAACTAGACTCAACTCAGTCATAATGTTCAAGAGAATCAGAAATAAATCGAGTATCTGCTTCAACACTAAAAACTTACATTCCTGAATCCAACCAAGTTTGAAAATAAACATCTAAACATATCTCCTTTCTACCTCCTAGGTGTCCTCATATCAAAAACAACATCCAACAACAATAATTATGGATGGTCTAGTGTGTTGAAGTATAAATACTTAAAACTTTTGGGATAGATAGTTGTTTATGATATTAGACTAGGAGGTCTTGTGTTCAAATCTCGTTGTCATTTAACTTTTAACAAATTTTAACGTATTAGGTCCAAAATATAGCTTGCACAGGAGAGAGCATATTGAAGTACAAATACTTAAAGTCAAACCCTCTCTAATAGCTTAAGCTTTTGCAATAGATGATTATTTTACATTGTACATCCATTGAGACTTAATGGTTCATCTTACATATTTGTCAATGTTGAAGCACAGTACCATGTCTCCATAGGCATGCAACCCAATGTGCATCCACAGAAGGTAACATACAAGTACAACCCAGCACATACGTGCATGGCGAAGTTATGCACCATCTGACCATGGTGATACCTTCCAACATAGTACCAAAACTATGAAATAATGATAGTTTTGCTTTCTGACAGTACCTGAAATCTGGTGCGAAAGACATTTGGTACATCAGCAAAAATAATTTCCCACATAAGCAGACCAAAAATAGTTAACCAAATGCCACTCTCTGTGTGAACACCATGCCAGCCACCGCCTTCTCCAGAATAATACTGCAAAGCAAGCTGCTCTACTCCACATTGTTCTCCATCTTGACCATAAAATATACTCTTCATCCCTGTTTCACAGTTCAATGGTCTACCTTGAACATGAACCTAACTCGTCATTAGCCAAGAGAAAAAAATAATGTCACTTGGGCAATAGCATAACCCTGGCATTAAGAGGATGAATCTAATGAAATGATTGGCGCCTCAAAATTTAACTGGCACGATGGAGTCAAAAGTCAACATCCAAAGAAATATCACACAAGCAGTTACCTCAGCAATCTTCCGCTTGACAGAGTCTGAATAACTAGGAGTTTTCCAGCGTCTTGGAGGTTTCCCCAAGCGCAGAACCCGCATTTGCAGTGCAACTCTAGAACCAGCACGAACCCATGGATCTAGTATCCCATCTTCAGCAACCGAAAGACTCTCATCAAGACGGCCCACATGCTCCAAATCAATTGACAGCCTGAGAGTCCAATATCCTCTTCTTCGATCAGAAGTAAAATTATTAAGCAACCTCCGGAGTAAATTTATAGCATCATTATACCTGGGAAGGTCAAACAAGCTCATAAGGGATACTAAATGGAAAAACAGGGTGCACAAGAAAGTAAAGACCCGGCGTCTCTATCACAGCAGGTTTTCAATTAAGGATTATGGTTGTATTCTCCCAACATGTCCATGGGTAGGTTAGTGCACACAGACGCGCATTAGAGAGGCGTGCACATAGAAAGGCATTATGCCTGTAAGAATCCTGTACCCTCGTTAAAATATAAGCAAATAAAAAAGAGAAAACGTTTCAAGAGCCTGATCAACCATAGCAGCTATTTGGTGTGCAAATCTGTGTCCATTGATTAAAAAAATCGTGATCATCCAGTAAAGCAGTGTGCATTCTGAAAGTAAAAAATGTTGGCTGCGTACATTAAAATAGGGTACAATGGTAATCTGGTTAACAAAGTTAACGAGCTACAAAGCTCTACATGAGAGAGGCAGATTGTTTAGTGCTCTATCATAATCTCCTCATCCTGGCAGCAAATTTTCACCTACAAACATGGCAAGTATGTTGAAAATTTCAATATAGAGAATGCATATCCGACTCCCATCCGTTCTATGTTTTCTTGTGTCTTAGTTATATCTTCCTTTTGTTCTTCCTTATAAAGCCTCCCCACCCAACCAAAAAATCAAATCCTAATCATAAACTCACTGTTGATTACTTTAATCTAGTACAGTTGATGTTTGATATTACAATAATGTACAGATTGCACGAACTCTTTATGCATGCAAGAAGCCAAACTTGGACATTTGATCATCTGAAGATGTGTTTTTAAAACGGTATGTTATAATAGACATGCTCCATGTAATCAAGTCTTAATTCAGCATGACTAACTTCATCACAGAGGTCTTACTTAGTATCTAATTTAAAAGGAGTTCATTTTTATTTAATTTTAAAATTTCAAAATGTCATATTAGTGAAATCAAACCAAACCAAACTAAGCCTTGTGTCCCAATCATATTAGGGAAGTGGTATGTAAATACGTATAGCTGCTCCTTTCCTGCTGTGGGTCTTTTAAAAATTTCACACTGATGTGTGGAGCAGTAACAAACAAGGGAATAAAATTATGCCCATTTCATATTCCAAAATCAGGAATAAGCCCATTTAGTGGTGGCTCAATTAATGTCTGCAAAAATAGGTGAAAGATTTTTAACTACTATTATCGTTCAAGAGACTCAGACCCTTCTCCTATGGCTGCATGGGACAACCAAATAAAAGAATTGTCTCATTAGAGGTTGTTTTGCACTCACCCTCACAAAGTTCTAGGTTTCCAGCGGTTCCCTTTGTATTTCTAATTATTTCTTATTTTAAAAAGTTCATTGTATGTTCTTATGTTGGTTCTAATTCATTATTAATCTGTTACGTCAGTACCCTGGGTTAAAAAGGTAATCCTTCATCCTATCCGCAAGACATACTTTTCCACCTGAACTATTTGATGAACACTACTGGGGGACTTGCAATACTGCAGACAAGTTGGTAAACATATTTCCCCAGCCTTTTAATCTCAACACCTAATTAATTGCTTTCCAAACTTTGATTTTGGCATATTTTTGCTAATTCTTTGCATTCATCTTGTAGCATTAGAAAATATAGGGTGGTTCTGCTTCCTCCTTCAACATGTGTTACTCCTTCCTTGCTGATTAGGGAAAAGTTGATCCAAACAGGTTTAAGCCCACTGTTTATGCATCACAATCATCCTTCCAGTTCTGGATCATGTAGGCAAAAGGCCCCACATGATTACATACAAATGATGAACTAATCACTAATCACTATCATAGTTTGCACCTATGATCACATCTGACTTCAATAATAGGAGGATGGGACTTACAAGTACTTAGACACTGAAATTCAATTCAAACATGTTCTAAGTTTTTGGCCTTTTACTATGCTTCTATGTGTGTTACTAGGCATCCATTGTTAATATCATCGTTCCAATTCACCCAATCAAAATCAACATTGTTGCTAAAAAAAATACTTGAAACCGAAAGATGAACAACAAGAGAGTCATAGGTACTGAAATGATTAAAAGGGAGGGGTTCTCATTGCAAGATTCAGATCTATACAAGGAACCAAAACACGTGCGAAATAGTCGAAACAGCTAAACGTTTCCGTTTCCATGAAAATCGAAACAAATTAGTGATATGAATATCGACATTTCGATGTTTGGACATGTTTCAATCAATTAATTGGAAAGTTCCACAAATAAATTTCCAAATTTTTTCTTTGCCTCATAACATCCAACTTTTTTTGTCTCCAAATGGAGAGCTCGCCCCAGGGTGAATTTCTTGATTCCTAGCTTCATCATGTTTCTAAATTATTTCTACAGTAAAATGAATGTAGTTTTACACTATGAATGCATTCATATGATGCTGGTGAGCACTTCATTGGTATTAGGAGACTAGAATATCCTCTTAAGTGTATTGGTTTAATGAAAATGAAGTGTTTAAAATTAGTTGAAGTGACTTCTATCTCATTACCTTTTTTTTTTTTTTTTTCATTTTTCCAACTTGATCTTATCTATTATAAATGGATGTTAAGATAATAAGCATGTTCAATTATTATTAATGCTCCCGAAACATTTCTAAAATGTTTTTGTTACGAGCTAATCGAAACTATACACAGAAACACATTTTTGATCCTTGGATCTATACTTAAAGAATCATTCAAAGCGGTAAAAAATGACCATTACTTCCCAGCGTCCATACACTCCATACCTTTGCGCATGCTCAAGAAAGGAAACACCTAACATAACCACCTTAGAGTAGACCCACAAAGCAGAAAAGCATGATAAAAATGGAATCTTTAATGGGGAAGTTGATGGATAGGTTGCCTTCAGAGAACTGGAGATGCAGGAGTCAGCCATCTCTATGCATCTTAATGCCAACTCAGAGTTGTTTTCATCAAGAGATCATCCATAATTTGTGCCACTTCAATGGACTGCACCAATAAACAGTAAGTTGGTAACAGCAACATACTTCTCCAGCATTTCACACAAAAATCAACAATACCTCTTCATACGAAAGCAGGTCACTTTGACCTGAAAATATATGGTCTAAGGTTATACAGTTGTAAGTAGGATACTTGACAATTCCCAAGTCCACAAGCAAAAATGCTGAAAGATCCTGCTCTCCGTTCAGAAAGAAAAGCCTCTGCATGAAGCCACAAACTAGAAGAGGATTAATTATATGTAAAATTATATTTACAAGTTCAGAAGCTTAAAGCAAAGGTCTGAGAACTCACCTCAGCACGCCAAATAAGGGACTCGGCCATTACAGACGTTTGAACACAGGCTCCAGTTTTCTTCAAAACTATACTTTGGAGAAGCGGGCTGCATGATCAATAATTGGAATAGAAAACACACTCAGCAGACTGACAACACAGACTCAGCAGATTGACAAACTCGAAAACAAATCCTTACCATAATCCCTTGTCATAAGCTGAAAGAAGCGAACCAATAAAATCTTGCTTTCTCGTACCACGACTACATTTCTGAAGTCCCAACCGAAGAAGGGAGGGAAATATGAGCAACCAAAAATATACTCAAAACCATTTCAAATAGAACGACATTTTCGCAATTAAATAAGATTATAAGTCCAAAGAAGAAAAGAGAAATCACAGCTAAAAATCTATGGCTAATTGGTTATTAGGCTCATCCATCAATGTAGAGAAAACTTTTAACTAAAGGGAACAGAGTAACATGTCCATTACAATTGGGATGAATCATAACTTTGACTACTAAATTAGCCTATTAAACTTGCCATTTTCAATGGGTGTAGGAGGAGCACGATAACCATGCATGCAAAAATGTAGACAGCATTTTAGCAAAGGCTTTGCCTAAACAGGCTCTGCAGAGCTGGCATCAAGCCCAGGAAAGTGATGGCAGTGATAAATTTGTCACTAAGTGCAACTAATCTTCTGACTAACAAACAATTCAAGACTGGAAAAACTGAAACATATATGCTTAGCACTTGCCTAGGATGGTTTTATACTGTAGTTAAATACACTGAAACAACTTCGATGCACAAAAATGATACTAAAGAGGGAGAAAAAAAATGCTTCCAAAATTATGATCTCATAAATATGAACATTTCTGGTTGCAATTATTAATCAAACATACCGACTATGCATAAGTGATGTCCTTGTTCGGAAAATGGATGAGCAAAAAAAGTGTGCATCGTGATATGGATACATTGACCTGCACACTGATGTTGATAGGCACATTTAAAAGTTCCTAGGTATTAGGTAGGTATGCGTATGCCTGTGGTAACAATGCACACAGATGCACTCCAGCAAGTGTGTATGGATGTATGGCAGACAACTCTGTGTGTGTGTACTGTATCCTATCAAGCCTAGCCATCTCATGCTTACCCTAGTTGCCTGGAACCCTGAAGATGCCCCCTTAAAATATTCATCATTGCAAAAGTTAATTGACAATATATTAGTTTCATCACTAGAAAAGGGAAGAGAAGAGAAATCAAATATAGAATGGAATAAAAGATGAGAAGGAAGAAGAAAGTTTACTTGCATGCTTTTAACTTTTCCATCCATGCACAGGAGAAAAAATATTTTAAAAAAAAATCCGGGCAAGATACACAATCTTATTTCAATTTACGTTAAGAATTCTCAACCCACCTAACACTCACTACATTTGCCTCTCAATCTTTTTACTTGAGGGTGAAAAAGTAATCTCAAGAAAAAATATTTCTTTGGATCCCTCAATCTATGCCTTTCTTTCCTCATTGAGCAAACAACTAGAAGCAAAATTAAATTAACCATTTCTATCCTTAATTACTCAAGGGCAAACATGCTATGAAACTAATATTAATATGGGTATTGTCGAAGTACAAATAATTAAGTTACACCTTCTCTAACAACTTATACTTTTGGAGTAGATGATTGTTTAACATAGTATTAGAGTCGAAGATCCTATGTTCGAATCTCGCCGTCATCCTAATTATTAAAAAAAAATTCACATGCTAGGCCCAAAATCTAATCTAAAATCTTAGCCAGCATGTGAGAGGGTCGTGCTAAAGTATAAATATTTAAGTTACACCCTCTCCAACAACTTAAACTTTTAGAGTAGATGGTTGTTTAACAGGTATTCTGCCCTTCTAAATTTATATATTTACCTTCACATAAAAAGAGTATCAGTTGCATTCTCCTCTTCTTGTTCATTACATCTTGTATTATGTGCCTCTTCTCTTTCCAAGTACTGAATCAATGTGAGTGTTCATGAACTTCTGCTCTACTATGGACTCATCTGATTTTTATCAGGGCGTCATTCTAAGTATTTGGGGGCCATACCTGCAGTGTTTTCATTATTGAATCTAGTAGCAGCCTTGGAACATTTAAATATCTCACAAAACATGTTTTAGTTGTGAAGAAAACTTAATAGGTTCCCTGGGACCAAAAAAACCTGGGGCACACAATTTGCATTTTCTATGGTGCTCATTTTTTAAAGTGGTACCCTATCTAGACAAGCTGAAATGCTCACAATCAACCAGGACATTTATCATCCAGCTATGCGTCTTTTTGTTTTTTTTATGCAATATAGTGCTACCCTTGGATGCAAGATTAAAGCAAGGCATGAATTGCAGAGGCGGGTAGCATCATCATCTCTAAAATTGTATTTTTGTCCCTGTTCTTCATATCTCTATAGTTACCATTCTCATGACAAATCCTCAAAATGATCATCGCAACTTCCATTTCATTTGAAAATTCTAATGATGCCGAAATTTCATAAATTCCCCAGAAGGGGCAAGAATTATTTCCGTTTAGTTAACTTACAGAAGCTGTTCTAGGAAAGAAAGAGAGGGACAGACATCAATGATCATCCTATCATACATTGATGATAGAAATCATGAACTAATCCCTCCTCGTTCCCTCTATGCTAATTAGCTTGAAAGCTATCTGTTATTCTGTTAAAAATCTAGCATGTAATGCCTGTGGAAGAGAGAAGAGAAGGTGATAAAAAGAAACATGGTGGTGTTCTGGTTGCTATTAAACCAGGAGATCGGTAACATGTGCAAGAATGGGTTCAGGGGACTACCAAGATAGATTGAAGCAGGTGATGATGGCAATGGTGTGTTGCCCGGGATTGTAACAGAAAGGCCAGGTTTGGTGGTCCACATGTGACTACTAAACATCTATTTTTGACATCTTAACCAAATTAATGCTAATGCACAATTTAGTTTTACTAATACTACAAAACCATTTTCATTTTTATGGCCTCATCAACTTTTTATAAGATGGCACTAACAGCTAAATGGATAGCGCGAGTTTCAAGTCTAAAACCCGCCACTTAATGGCCTCTTAATGTGAATAATGTGTGGCCCGTATCTGTCCACACAGTAGGTCTCTTGCTGTGTAGTCATCAGAAGCCAATTAGTCACTTTAGGAGCATAAACTATGTATTCACCCAAATTTAGAAGGAATACATCCATAACACTCCATTAGTGCACATTTCACATGCAAAAAACAAAGAACATAGAAACATACAAAAAGCCAAAGCAAGGTTTTTTTTAGGTTTTTAGATGAACAAACCATCAAGCTCTATTGTCTGTAACTTATTCTCTCAAATTGATCAATCATTGACTAGATTGTCATGAACAAATCAGAATTGAATGGTTTAGAAAAAGAAAAATAGCAATACTCGGATAAACTAGATAAACCATGTGATAGTGAACCGTACAAATCCAATTCTGAAATCAGGATTTTTTTGCTCATTTTCTTAATAATAAGTGAAATAATAATCATAGAGAGAATTATACTAGAAAAGCCATGAAAATGTAAGTCCTAAACCTTAAACCCAACCTTTCCAGAAAAAAAACTGAAACCTAACAGTTGAGGACATTAACTCTCGTGGAGCACGCAAAACTGGAAACAACTAGACAAACATGCTGGGAATGAATAGCATCACTTCTTCTTTTCTTTTTCGGTCACAATTGTTGTTGGAATGAGTGGCCACATAGCCCTCAATGTTTTAATTATTGGAGGATTAAAATAAATACATAAATAACGTCTTAATTGTATATATATTTGTTCAATTAAAATTGTTGTATTTGACTAACGTTTGTAGTGTTTTTAATTTTGCATATATTGATTTTATTACACACAAGGAAGACAATGGGTGTGATTGGCCAAGTTGGCTAAGAAGTTTCATTTGGTCACACTATAGGTGTAATCCACTTAATATGAGATGTGCATG